GATGACAATGGGGCCACTTGGTACTGTTGTGGGGGTGTGGAGAAATCCGAGGCGGGCAGGAAGACCTACGAAGGGAGGATGTTTAGGACCTTCTTCCTCACGTCCGTCTTCGACAGCGCTGGGACGGACTGGGTCAAGGAAGACAAGAAGGTCTCCCTTGACCTGCGTCTCTTCCAAGGATACGGCGTCAAGGCTTTCTCCATGAAAGCGTTTGACGTGCGTGGGAACGGAACTGAATTCCGAATGCTTTCTCCGGAAGAATTTCTCAGCAAAACAAATGCCAACCGCGTCACTGGCTGCCTTCCTGTTGTCGACAGTTCTTTCCGGATGAGCAAACCTTTGGTCCAATTCAACAGTCCGATGGACCTGCTGCCAGGTGTGGTTAAGCGGTACAGGGAAGACTTCTCGAAGCTGCCGCCTGATCAGCAAACGGACTGTGTTGTTTTGCCCTTCGAGGCGGGTTCCAAGGCGACAAACGCCGTCCGCGACGACAGGGAAGACAAAGCAGTTGCCGGGTGGGCCGTCGGGCGCGAATCTTCCCTCGCCCTCCGTGAGGGGAGGTCGTGATTTGGCTCAAGGTTCAAGCGAGGCAACGGAGTTTGATGACAGGCTTCTGCACAAGCGCAATGTTGGCCGTGAGAATTCCCAGGGCAGTGCAATTGCCCTGGACTGGACAACGACGAGGACGAGGAAGGAGGAAGTGCTGGGCCGCATGACGACGGCGGTAATGAAGCAGATGTGGAAGTTGGGGATGACAACATGGAGGACCAGGGCGGGCTTGCTGACGAGGACGCCGACACGCCAATGCATGGTCATGACATCTCCCCCGCCGGCGCTGTGGGAGCCACTATTGGTCAGCCCTCGACGTCCCGTGGAATTTTGCTATCGCAAAGCAAGAGTAAGGGTGGGCACGACTCACATGCAATGCAAGGACCGAAGGCGAGGAAAAGAACAAGGGAGACTTCTCCGTCTGCTTCTACCCACAAGAGGCAAGCCAGGACTGACGCTGTTAATGAGGCTCGTGGAGCTTCGACAGCGTCCCAGGAGGCGCGGCCTCCTCGGAAGAACAGTCAAGGGGGGCGATCTGGGGGTCAAGGCGGTGGCCGTGGAGGGGCGCGGAAAGGCTCCCAGAGGGTGAGACCACAAGAGCTGTGGGACTCGGGGGATGAGGGCAAGGGAGTGGATCCTCGCATGCCCGAAGATGCTGATGAGCCGGTTCAGCGCGTCGCGCCCATCGACACTACGCGTTGTTTCTTCCTCGAATACGACGACCAAGGCTTTGCTACGCAATACGTCCATGCTCTTCACGTGGACGTCATGAGAATCAAACGCATTCCCCGCGGAAGGATTCTTTTCAACCACCGCTCGTTGTCTAAAACATTGTGCGAGGCATCGAGAATGCCATCGAAAGCTCCATCAGCACGGACCCGGGGGCGTGGGATAGGCCCGAGCTCGTGCTTGCGCTAGTTGACCGCAATGACATTGTCGGCGGCCAGGGAAGACGGATCACGCCGACCGAATTCTTGGAAAGGGACCCGGCAGAGTTCGACTGGTACGCTGTTTGTGGTCAGCATACCATTGAGGCCATGAAGAGATTGGTCAGAAAGGGCTCCCCGGCAGTTAAAGTTTATGGCCTCAACGCGTACTCTAAGGTGCGGGTCGTCTATTTCGGAGATGATCAAACACGAGGGTATTTCAATGTCTCCTGCTTCGACAACACACGCGAAAATCGCTCCATGATGTTGTCATTCGAGGACGTTGTCYGTGACATCAGGCAATGGTGGATAGACAACAATAGAATCGAGGCCCCGAAAGCCAAGGTCAGCGAGAAGGATGAGGTGGCCGTTGCACATCAGAAGACGTGGCAGAACTTCTTGAGGGCCTGCATGGGGAAGGCATGCGACAAGGCGTTTGTAAAGCAAGCTCTCGAGAATGAGTATAGTAAGGATTGGAGTAATAAACTCCGGGGCTACATGAACCTCGCCACATCTTGTGTCGCAGTGTGGCCGCTGGTCGAGACATTCTTCGAGATGTTCAACGAAGGAAAGCCGCCAGTTGGCGATGGCAAAATCCCGCTTGACATGCCCGGGAGAATGGAAGGCCGCCTGCCAGGCCCGTACACCAACGAGACCAAGGGACAAAGAACATTGTACCATTGCATATATGCAATAGATGGTCCCAAAGGCTCCACCGTGTCGTGAAAGGACCTTTTTCCTTCCTACTTCAAAAATTTTGGGGATTTGACATGTCGTGAGAGGGAAGTTGCGTTGCTCCTGCTCATGAAGGGGAAGGTGGTCGCAACGAATGTCAAGGTCTTGCCTCCAAGAGTGAACACAGAGTGCCTCCTCGACATCATGCGAAAGGAGCGGTGCATGGTGCGTATGTTCAATTATGTTCTGTTCCGCGCCGAGGGAAGGGCGGACGACGAATGGAACGACGCGTTCTTCATGTCGTACAAGGACCTTGAAAACAGGTATGGGCCAAACGGTTTGTGCGCTGCTGAATGGGATAAGGAACGGGACAAGTTACATGTCCATAAGGTGAAGATGGTCCCTCGACGACTTGGAGGAGTGGAGGAGGCAAGGCAAGGCGTGGGTTTGGGGCCTACAGCGGCAATGTATAAGGAGGCTCCGTTTCACCTTAAGGTCTTCATATACACTGCAATCGATAAGCTCGATTTGTTTCGTGCCGAGGTGAAACGGATCACCTCCAGCGCGTGTCGTATTGTGTGGGACAAGATTGGCAAACAAACGACGTTGCTACCTGTGTGCATGCCATCGAAGGAAGTGTTGGCAGCGCCAGACGACATCGTCGCTGCAGCGCAAAAAATGACATGCAGGGCCGCCATCGTGGACATCCCATTCTCGAACTTCAGCACGGCGTGGACCTCTCACGAATTTGATGCCTTGCACACATTGATGACCAAGTGTTGTGGCCAGAATTGGGTCCTTTTCTTCTTTGCGCCGCAGAAGGTGCAAAGCGATGTTCTGCGTCACTTGTTCCACTCGGAGGACGTCGAAGTCATCCCCGGGACCTGGAAACGGGTGGATAGGCCACCGAACGACATCACACGATACGGCAATATGGCTACGACGAGTCGAGATATGATGGCAATTGTCCTGCACGCCGACGGAGGGGATCTGAAAAAAGTAACTCTCAAACCACGACTCCACAACGACCTCACAACCGTGCACGTTATGGAGGAGAAGTTCGGGAAGTGTCAAGGTAAACACGGTGGGATAGAGGGCGACGATAGTGCGGTGTATTCCATCTGGGAGCGAGAGCCTGAAAAGTTACGTTAGTTGTGCGGGTCATTTGTCGGAGAGGCGGAAGGTGTGCTTTTGTTGGGTAGAGCGCACGCATGTCTTGTGTGGGAGTTATTACTGGCAAGTAATAATGTCCTTGCCTGCGACGAGTCGGCCAAGGACATTGCATATCTGACAAAGTTCGTCGATATACTTGTGAAGGATGAGAGATTCGCCTGTCATGTCGAGAAGCCACGTTGCAAACATCGTAGCAACAGGGACATATTCCACAAGTTGGGACGCAAGAGACTGAAGGTGTGGGAATACCTGTTCCGCGATGCGCCGCAAGGACGGCTTGACGGGAATTACATCTACAGAAAAGCAAAGGTGACAGAGACCCTGAAACATTATCACGGTGCTCTTACTGGCGCCTTTGAGACTTTTGTTGCTCGATGCGAGATCCTGAAGTTCGATCTTCATAAAGACCAGTTGATGTCCAAGGACTACGTTGACCTCGCGAAAGCGGGTGATGGCTTTAACCCCGTCGACAGCGAGGAAGATTCTTCGGTGTCCGACCTCGAATTGGGCGATGGCAAGGGTGGTGAAGGTCCGGGCGGTGGCATGGTGCGGTCACACGATGAAGGGACCGTTCGCTCGCATGAAAGACCCGTACAGGTGGCCGCCCCCAGTGTTGGCTCGATGGTGGCCCCCATGGAGGGCACCAGTTTGCCAAACATGGGAATATGTGGTCCCAATGATGAAGATGACATTGATATGCCAGGCGAGGCGTCGAAGCTCGCACCAGGCGATCCAATTCCTCCCGGCTATTGTGCTGATCCGACCACAATTTATTTCTTGGGGGGCAAACACGCCCGCACTCGTGAGGACAAGTGGGGCCATGACATCGTGTGGCATGAGGGCATTTTTGAGCCGGGCATCCAAGATGGGGAGTGGAAGATGGCGGTCAAATACACACGCGGATGGCAGACGTTTCGCCGGATGCCAAAGGACACATGGCTGAAAATGACAGAACTCGCGATTATGTACCGCGTGCAAAAGGAGAATCCGGGGAAGAGCGAGGGCGCTGTCAAAGACAAGGCCAAAGAATTGTTTTCTGTATTGCGAGACAATCAGCAGTTGGAGTATAGTTGGAAATTTTACGCCCTGCGAACGAGTCCCTCATGTGGGTCAATCGACTGGAAGGTCAATCAAACTATCGGAACCATGGAGGAGAGCAACTCTCAAGATGCCGTGCCTTTGTCGGCATCGCCCCCCGTACCCACGCAGGCAGGGCAGAGGGAGGATGGCGGGAGTAATGTGGTGAAGACTCAAGAGGTTCACATGACGTCTATGCCGCAAATCTCCGTCGACACGACAGAACCGTCCAAACGCATGGATGCGTCAAATGCATTGTCGTCAGATGCAGGTGCCACGTACGAGAGTTTATTATTGACATCCGCCGCATTAGAAGGCACATCCGAAATGCAGTCAGAGTCAGGTGTTGGCCTGAGCGTGCCGGACAGTCAGTTGCAACCGGAGTTATGCACAGGCAAAGGTGATGCACAAGTACATCTGACACCACAGGGAGGGGCCGTTGCGGATGGTGGGAAGGGAGAGGATGTGGAGGGAATCCTCCATCCTCGCAATCTTGAGACCTTAACCGATGATTTCGATTATGGGGGTGAGGGTGGAAATGATGTGCTCAATACGAGGGGAGTGTGAAATGATCGGTGAGGCGGGACGGGGGCAATGGAGAGGGAGAAACCAACGATATGATTACAATGTTATTCTTTTCTTTGTTAATTGAAATCGCACAATTGACTCGTTTGTTTTTAGTTTCAAATGGAACTAGTATTGGTCTTCGTAGGCACCACGACCACCTGATTTTCTTTTATGTATATATATTTTTTTCCTCAATATTACGTTCGACCTAAGATGTTTAGGATACTTGCCATTTTCGAAGTGGATGTGTGTA